AAATGGGACCTCTAGTCCTAGTTCTTTGAGGTATCTCCATACTGATTTCCACAGTGGTTGCACCAGTCTGAACTCCCACCAACAATGGAGAAGGGTTTCCTTTTCTCCACACCCCCGCCAGCATTTGTTATTGGTTGATTTCTTGATAGCAGCCATTCTTTGTGGAGTGAGGTGGAATCTCAGTGTTGTTCTCATCTGCATCTCTTGAATGATCAGTGATGCTGAACATTTTTTCATATATTTATTTGGTGCTTTTACTTCTTTGTCTGAAAAATGTCTGCTCATTTCAGATGCCCGTTTTTGAATTGGGTCTTTGAATTTGGGGAGTCCTTTTATTCCTAGTTCTCTGAGAAGTTTAACATGAATGAATGAATGATGAATTAGAGAAACAGTTTATCTGTATCCACCAAGATATTATATAAGTGGCCTCTTATTGTGGTAAATTGCCTTAGCTGACTTTTGAATACTGAACCAACCTTGCATTCCTTCAGTAGTCCCTATTTGTTCACAATGTGTGAGCCCTTTCATATACAATTGTCCCTCAGTATCCACAGGGGATTAGTTTCAAGATGTCCCATGGACACCAAAGCCCACAGATGCTCAAGTCTTTTGTATAAAATGTTATAGTGTTTATATTTAGTATATGTGCTGCTGAAGCTAGCACATACAGCATTTATATTTAACCTACACATATCCTCTGGTATATGTTAAGTCATCTCTAGATTACTTATGATACCTAATACAATGAAAATACTGTGTAATTGTTTTATTGTACTGTTTAGGAAATACGGACAAGAAAATAGTCTGTACATGTTCAGTACATATGCAACTATTATAGGCCTAACTACACAGTACATGTCAGCAAAAACATAACTTTTGGGGGGGAATTGTTTGACCCACTAGTTAAATCCTCAGATATAGAACCTACAGGTATGGAAGGTAGACTATATTGCTGGATTTGATTTGCTACTATTATGTTAAGATTATTTTTGTGCATCTGCATTTAAAGATTAGGTTTTTGCCCTATAAGTTTGACAAGTTTTGGCAATCAAGGTTATGTTGTCCCTTAAAATGAGTTGGTAAGAATTCCTTCATCCTCCATATTTTATGGCAGAATTTGTGTAAGACTGGTATTGCTTTTTGCCCAAATGAATGATAGAATTTGTAGGTGAGAACTTTTGGACATATAGTTATTAACACTATTTCCTTTTGAATCTATTTATTCAATACCTGTTATGGACTACATACCATTTCAGGCACTAGGGATTTAGCAGGAAATGAAAAGCCCCAGCCTTCCTGGAAATACAGATCTTCTGCTCTTATTGCTGAGAATTAAATGAGAGAGTGTTCGTAATGGCTTGGGGAAGAAGCCCCCAAACCTACATGCTGTGCTTCACCAGGTTGGGATCAGGGAAAGTCAGTGGAAGGCCTATTCCTACAGTCTTACAGTCTGCCTGGAGTGGTCAAGAGAACTTAGGAGGAAAATGGCATCACCGGACCTGGCCTTACCCGCTTCTTATCCTCATAGTGACTGCCCCTTCTCTGTCCAAACAGCTCAGCCGCCACCCTCACCCTACTATCCATCTGTTGGAATTCCATGTCCTCAGGTTAGGCTCCCTGGGTGCAGCAAGGTGTCTCCTCGCCTCTGGTCACCAGGCACCCCTCAAGCTTAAGTTCTGATGTCACAGAAGGTAGGGAACAGCAAGGCCCCAGCTGCCCATTATCCTGAGTTCCAGCACCTTCTTTCACATTTTTTTTCATGTTTGTGTAGAAAATAATGATCGCCAAAAGATTTTATTTTAGGATGGTGATTTTTCTGATTTCTTTCTTCTATATTTACAAGTTTTTATTAAAATGTGAGCTAAAAATAAAAAGTAAAAAAGTTATTTTTAATGAAAAATTTCAGGAGATCTTTGTAGATTCACATGCAGTTATAAGAAATAGTAGAGATTTTGTGTATCATTTTCCAAGTTTTTCTCAATAGTAACATCTTTCATCACTGTAGGATGATACGAAAACCAGGATATTGGTAGAATCTTATTCAGACTTACACAGTTTAATTTGTACTTATTTGTGTGTGCACTTCACTTTGGACAATTTTGTCACAGCTGTAGTTTTGTGTACCTATTGCAACAGTTAAGATACAGAATCAACAAAGTACAGGAGTTTCTGTTACCCTCTGATGCCTGCTGCCTCCCCTGACCAACCCACTGTCCCTAACTCCTAAAAAGCACACGTCTGTTCTCCATTTCCAAAATGGTGTCATTTCACATAGTCATATAAATGCAACCAAACACTGTGAAACGTTTGGGGACTGGCCTTAGAAAAACAAATACACAGTTATTTCTTGTCATTCACAAGGGGATTGGTCCCAGGACCCTGAAGATACCAAAGTTCAAAGAATGCTCACATCCTTAATATAAAATGTGCAGTATTTGCACATAACCCACATACAATTCTCCTACATACTTTCAATTATTTCTAGATTACTGATAATACCTAGTGCAATGTAAATGCTACGTAACTAGTTGTTGGACTATATTTTGGGGGGATAATAAAAAGACAAAAGTTGGTACACAATCATTGTGACAAAAATTTTTTCGAATAATTTTGATTTGTGACTGGAATTGATACACAGAACCTGTACATATAGAAAATTGACTCAGTGTAATTCTCAGGGGATTTATCCAGGTTGTTTCATGTATCAGCCATTCATTCATTTTTACTGCTGATTAGTATTGGATGATATACATGCACTACATTTTGTTTAACTAGTCACCCTCAAAGAACATGTTCAAAACATGTTAAAAATCTTGTCTTTTTATTCTGTTCACATGGACTATTGCAGAGATAGTATTAATTATTTTATGGGTTGACCTTTTTTATATCCGGTCTAAGAACTCTTCACCTAGTTCGTATTCTCAAAGATTTATCTTCTTAAAAAAGTTTTATAGTTTTGTGCCTTACATTCTCATTCATAATTCATTTGGACTTAATTTTTGTGTAAAGTTAATTATTTTTGGCCTGTGGATATTCAATTGTTCCAGCACCACTTGTTGGAAAGGCCATGGGCAAGGATCCTCACAACCTGAGCCTTAAAGAAGAACATGGTCCTTGCCTGGATCTCGTGCCCAGCCTTTGACTTATGGAAGAAAGACCCATATTTGTAATAAGGATGGCATACTCAGATGCACCAAGGTATTGAGAAACTAATAAAATGAGAGGAATAGACTGGGTGAAAGATAAGAGCATGGTACAGACCAAGGCAAGATTATAACACACGTTTAGAATGGCTAGCCAGTTGTTGGCATGAACATGTGGGGTTCATGCCATCTTTTATGTGAAATCTCCTGACTCATATTGTTGGCAACAAATCCAACTTTAGAAAAAGAACACACGGTGTGGGTTAAATACAGATAGAGTCTGTGAACTCTGATTTATTGTGTGTGACAGGTACCAGGCTGATCCCAAACATGGCTTGACTCTAATCCTCACATGGGCCCTGCGTGTGGGGGTTATTGCTTAGGATGGAAAGCCACAGATCTCTTATGGCTTTCTAAAGTCAGAGAAGGCAAATTCTGGAGGGATGACAAAAAGGAACTTCTGGAACTGATGGGGAGGCTGAGGATCTAGGGAGGGAACTGTTACTAGAATCCTAGGTGAAGATATTCCACAGGCACAGTCTGAACTCAGAAGTGTATACTAGGGGCAAATGTGCCACGAAAGAACTCTAAACTATCAAGGTGTCTATAACACATTTCCACAAATGGGATGGCTTAAAATTAAGAGATATTAACTTTCTTACAGTTCTGGTGACAAATCTAAGGTCAGCGTCACTGGGCTGAGCTATTGTGAAATCAGTCTGGCTGCATTCCCTCTGGAGGTCCCAGGAGGGAATCCTTTCCTTGCTCCTTCCAGCTTCTGGTGGCTGCTGGCATCCCTTGGCTTTCGGCAACATCACTCTAACCTTTGCTTCTGTGGTCACCTCTTCATTGTGTCTCCTCTTCTGTGTGTGTGAAATCTCTCTGTCGTCCTCTTACAAAGATAACTGGATTGGGGTGGGGCCCACTGGCTAATCCAGGATTATCTTCTCAACTCAAAATTCTTAATTTAATGACATTCATGAAGTTCTCTTTTACAATATCAGGTAATATTCTCAGGTCCCAGGGGTTAGGATGTGGAAATCTTTTGAGGAACTCTTTTCAGCTTACTTGAGGAAAGTCCCTGAAGATTTAGAACTCTTGGCAGGGATGGCTCTTAGGCTAAGCCTTATCCCAGGCCTGCTTCCAAGCTGTCAGGAAGTGGAGAGGAAGATGGGGGCTTCCTCCAGTGGGAGGCAGGCTGCACCACCTACCACCACCAGGGATCACATGAAGAGTGGGTATGTCCAGGGACAGAGGCACTGGGATGTGAGCAGACCATGGCTTGCTTTTCCTCCCAACTGCACTGACAGAGCTAGCTCTGAGAGGCTAGAAGATATCTAAACTGTGAGTGCCAACAGGCCAGGGACCATCTCCCTTGTGTCCGCTGAGTTTAGCATGAGTTTTGATACTCGGTAGGTACTCAGTATTTATTAGCAGGTTGTTGCCTCCCAAGTAGTCTATTTTCTCTCTCCTGTTAATGCAGCCAGTGGCCCAGGGATGGCAGACCAGCCAAGGGGACAGATGTATACATTTACACCCAATCTTGGCATCTGCCTGCCTGCTGGGGACACAGGCCACACCAAAAATACCCTTCTTCATGCTCCATTAATCAGAAAGCTAAAAGAACTGTGAACAGTGGACCAAAAAGGAAAAAAAAAGTGGGATTAATTTATGAGGCGTTCTGCTGCCTGGATGGCTCATTGCGTCCCCATCCTGGCAACACTGCTCTGTAATGTGCTTCTAGACTTACTGTACTTCAACATCCAGGGGCTCTTTTGTAACATGCCAAATATTCTGCCATTATTGTTCTAGGCACCTCCTGTTGGTCATTGGGCTAATTTATTTCAGTCGGAATTTCAGGACCAGACACAACTCTTATTACTCACTGCTTCGGAGAGGGAATAAAAGAGCAATTGATATTTGGAAAAATGAAAAATATGTCCAGAACACTTTGGGCCCCAAGGCCAAGAAGGAAAAAAAGGGTGCGTAGGGGGGAGCTAGAGGGAAAAGTCAGGCAGCCTCACCTCACCATGCACTCTGTCGTGGCCTGTCTCGGAGACACAGAGTCTAGAATGTCTACAGACAGATGAATCAAAGACAGGGCACTGAAAAGTCCTCAGACACCTGGGTCCTTCTGCACATGACTTCAGCTGCCACCTGCAGGAGCAGGGGTGGAAAAGACTGCAGTGTGGAGTGCTCCTCTCAATGACCTGAGTGTGTGAAAGCTGGTCTCACGTTGGAGGGTGAGGGAGAAATGCCAGTGAAGTTGTTTAATTCCTATGGCTGCTTGCTCCTGAATCCAAGACTCTTCATGGAAAATTAACTTAGGCATAGGATTCTGGGATGTGACAGTCCAGAGGCACTTGCTTTCAGGAACACTATGATGCTAAGGAGCAACAGGTGTCTGCTAGTGGGCAGAAAGGTTATTAAGAGGCAGACGACTCCTTTGCCATGTGAGATTCTTTGCCTGGCGGGTGCATGTGAAATCTGTGACTTTGCTGTTCCTGGAAGTTCTGGGACTTTGGCAGGTAGTGGCTTCTGCAGATGCACGACAGAGAGGGATGGGTTTAGCTCTGTGCTGGCCAACAGAAGCCTGGGATAATGTGTGCAGAAAAGGGGTGTCTGCAGGTGTGCCAGGCTTGGTGTGGTGGAGTCATTGCTCAGCCAGGCAGCCTACCCATGAGACTGACCTCACACTGCACCTTACTGTCTCCTTATCTGTAGGGCAGGCATTAAAATATCTCTCTTCCAGGGTTGTTGCAAGGAAAAGAAAAGTCATACATAGAAAGGTTTTGGCCTATAGAGATGATGATACCTGCCCGTTGCACACTTAATTTCAAGCATTCGTGTGTTCCTTCTCACATGGAATCATGGTGACAACTCAATGAAGGAAAAGCTCATGCTCCTCCTGTTTCACAGGCAGGAAACTGAGGTAAGGGAGATTCAGAGCCTCTTCTGAATCCAGACTCCAGATTCTGAATTCTTGGCATCTTTTGCCTTCCATGAAGATTCAGGTTTTCTGGAGGAGCACTTGGAGAAGTCCAATTGCTTCTCTTCCCAGCACCACAGGTGTGTGTGGGGGCAACCACTGTCTTTGACTGAGACAAACTGAAGATGTACAAGAACACAGTGAGCCACGAAGATCCTTTAAACAGCAGAGTTCTCCTCAGAGGGGCAAGAAGCCTATTGCAGGAGAGCTATGTGACAGCAGAGCTCAGGTGAGAGGCGCTCAGTGAGAGCAGCACTGTTTCTGTGTGCTCGCAATGTTTTGGCCCTTCTCTCATTGTGTACATTTGGATTGGAGTAAAGAAGATGGAAGGGCTCATGGGGTGGGCAGACCCTGTAGAGGTGCCTCCAGCACTTGGCATTCCCAACTCACAGAGAGCCTTTGGTGTCTATTTGTCAGGAGAACGTGGCCAAAGTTGAGTGCCTGGGCTTGGCAACCTGCCTTCTGAGGTTGAAATGGCTTCAAAATGAGATCAAAACATCCGTGTCTGGGACATTTCTGGG